TTTTCCTTTCTCACATTTTTATCCTATATAATAAAGAGCTAATGTGCAAATGGTTGTCACACCCTCATGCTATCACACCGTAATGGTTCAGACACTCAACACTGGGGAGAGAGGAATGGGGACCAGCCAGGCTGCAGCCCTGGAGAGGGACAAGCCGCCCACCCTGTAGTCTTGGGGCCAGCACCAACACCTGTGTCTGTGGCCTGGGAGAGGGGCAAGCCACCTGCACCACAGTCCTGAGCAACAGTGGCTATGTCTGCACCTGCTGCCCAGGAGAGGGACAAGCTGCCTGCCTCATGGTCCCGGGCGCCTGCGGCTGCAGCCCAGGCAAAGCCACCTGCCCATGGTCCCCTGTGGCTGTGGCTGGCCCTGGTGAAGCCGGCCTGGGACCTGGGTGCCTGCAGCCAGCCAGAGGGAGGGAAGCCCGGGTCTCAGGTGCCTGCAACTGGCTGGAGGAGGGAATCCTGGGTCCCAGGTATGGGGTGAAGCAGAGGTGGTTAGGGGTGATCAGGAGGCAGGCAGAGGGGTTAGGGGTGATCAGGCAGACAGGCAGGTGAGCGGTTAGGAGCCAGCAATCCCAGATTGCAAGAGGCAGTCGGACATCCCCCAAGGGGTCTTGGATTGGAGAGGATGCAGACTGGTCTGAGGGACGCACCCCCCGACCATGCATGAATTTTGTGCATCAGGCCTCTAGTCCTATATAATAAAAGAGAAACATGCAAATTAACCATCCCTCTGCTACACTCAAGCCACGCCCACCAGCCACACCCACAAGCCAATCAGGAGTGGGTATGAAAATTAACCCAACTAAGATGGCAGTGGCCACGGAGCTGGAGCTAGCTGGAGGCTTGGGTTGCCCCTGGCAATGGAGGAAGCCAAGCTTCCAGCCTGCCCTGGCCAGCCCTGGGCTCCGCTCAAGGCTACAAAGTTTCAATTATAGAAGATAAATAATTCCCAGAAAGAAAAAAAAGAAAATAATGAGAGGCTGGGAGCTTGGGTCACCGGGTGGCATGGCCAGCCTGAAAATGGCCATCAGCCCCTCACCCAGGCTGGCCAGTCACCCCAGCGGGACTCCCCCACCCTGAAGGGGGTGTGGCCAGCCTAAAAAAACAGCCCTCAGGCCCTCACCCAGGCTGGCCACACCCCCATGGGGTGAAGGCCCCACTGGGGGGCTTGTCCAGCCTGCAAACAGCCATCAGCCCCTCACCAAGGCTGGCCAGGCACCCCAGCAGGACTCCCCCACCCTGAAGGGGCTGTGGCCAGCCTGCAAACATCCATCAGCCCCTCACCCAGGCTTGCCAGGCACCTCAGCGGGGACCTCCACCCTGAAAGGGGTGTGACCAGCCTGAAAACAGCCCTCAGCCTCTCACCCAGGCTGGCCACACCCCCATGGGGTGAGGGTCCCTGCTGGGGGGCTTGTCTAGCCTGCAAACAGCCATCAGCCCCTCACCCAGGCTGGCCAGGCACCCCAGTGGGGACCCCCACCCTGAAGGAGGTGTGGCCAGCCTGAAAACGGCCCTCAGCCCCTCACCCAGGCTGGCCAGACACCCCAGAAGACCCCCACCCTGATCCCGGGACACCCTTCAGGGCAAACCAGCCAGTCCCCACCCATGCACCAGGCCTCTATCTTATATAATAAAAGGGTAATATGCAAATTGACCCTAACAGCTTAGCGACTGGGAATGACTGGTCACTATGACACACACTGACCACCAGGGGGCAGACACTCAATGCAGGAGCTGCCCCCTGGTGGTCAGTGCGCTCCTACAGGGCGAGCTCTGCTCAGCCACAAGCCAGGCTGATGGCTGCCAGTACAGTGGTGGTGGCGGGAGCCTCTCCCACCTCCTCAGCAGCGCTAAGGATGTCCAACTGCAGCTTAGGCCTGCTCTCTGCTGGCAAGTGGACATCCCCTGAGGGCTCCCGGGTTGCCAGAGGGATGTCTGACTGCCAGCTTAGGCCCATTTCCCCGGTGAGCGGGCCTAAGCCAGCGGATGGACATCCCCCGAGGGGTCCCAGACTGCAAGAGGGCACAGGCTGGGCTGAGGGACCCCCCTGAGTGCACAAATTTTTGTGCACTGGGCCTCTAGTTCATCTATAAATGTCTCTCTCTAATATATTTCCGACAATGAGCTAGATACTGTGATAGGTGAGTTACATGCATTATTTCTTTTAGCTTTCACACTAATTCTGCAAGATAGATATTGTCCCCATTTTACACAAAGGAAACTGGCATATAAAAGTTTTACATGACTTGCTGAAGGTCACAGAGCTTATAGGTTGTGGAGCCAGGACACACCCATATTTGCTTGACTACATGGGTCATTTTTTGTTTTCATATCAACATGCTATACTCTATCACTCTGTCTTCTTTCCACTTCTTTCCTCTTTCCTCTTCAAAGCCCACAGTGGTGGATGTGTGGTAGTACTGGAAGGATTTTAAAAAAAGAAGCACTAACCTAATCCTCCTTTATACTTCTCCTGAAGCTATGTAATTTCCTATTTCTCCCCACATGGCCTGGTGACCAGAATCCAAGAAAACATTGACTTCCTATAGGCTCATGTTATGTTTTCTTCTCCAATCTCTTCATGGTTGCAGTGACTACATTTTTAAAATCCCAAATAAGGGCATATAGCTTGATACATTGCGATTTCCATTAGAGAACACAAAGACAACACATTTAAAATTAAAACCAAAAAAGTACTTGTGGTGCATAGCAGAGAGATAGAGGGCTGGCTAAATATGGATTTGTTGAATGTTTTCTTGGAGATTTATCACACATGGAGAGTAATGAGCAAAGTTAGAGTACATCCTTATCAGTGGACTTCAACAGGGTGGTCTTTCTGACAGGTCTTTTTGTTATATAGCCTTAATGTAGGCTTCCTGAACCTGGTGTTTTATTAATCTGCAAGTACTTGTTTAGATACAAGGCTGTGGATTCTAAGAGATAAACTGTTAATTATGCATTCTAATCCCAGGCTAGAAGATGTTTATAAAGATTAAAACTTGTTTCCTTTTTTTCCTAACAGCTAATGGCCTAGAAAAGGGAAGATCAGTTGTAATTGGGAAACTGAAGAAGATAATAAATGCATTACTGAGGCCAGTTGCTTTACAAAGTCATTTATTTAATCCGTAAATTTTGCAGGTTGTAAATTACTCATTAGAAAACAGAAAGCAAAATAGCCATAATCTTGTTTATTGCCTCCAAATTCCAAAGATTTAGAGAAGGAAATCCATGGAAATAAGAAGCCTTATGTGTTTTTTCACTGATATTTTTTAATGGGCAAAGGATGTTAAACAATAAGGACAAGCTCAAGTAATTATCCTGATGTGCTGGTCCACAGGTCAGGGGTGGGCTTGATTAAATTAATGGAGAGCTGACATACAAAGGGTAGGAAAATGCCCCTTCTTTTCCACTCAGCCTTGCAGGCAACTAATCAATGTGCACATCTCACTTCCAGATTATTTCATGAGTCCAGAGCAATAGATCATAGCATTCATTGGGGCATCCACTCCTATCTGTTGTTTTCTAATTAATTAGTGAAGGGACTAGGACAAGAGGACAACTAGAGGAATTAGGAAGGAATGAAGAGGAGGGTGCGCCCACCCCATATATAGGGAATGCAGCTCCCAATTTACAAAATGTTCAACTGCAAAAGCAATTAGTTTGTAGGTTTCTTTACATGTATAGTAAGCCATATATATTTGGTTTGAATATGGATTTTTAAAGCTTAATGTGTAAACACTTAATCATATACTAAGGACAATGGTTTTTGTATACTAAGGGTAAAATAACATTTTAGACTCTTAGTGGTAATGATACAAACAATTTTCAAGATGCCTTTGGCATTGTAGGTCTAGTAAATGCACTCTGCACACATTTTGAGAGTAGAATTTTAATCTGTGCATATTTTCTTTTTTCAATAGTGTGATGACTTTTATATATACAACACAGCTTCTGGCTCACCCTTAGGCTATGTACAACAAAACAGCTACTGGCTGACTTTTGTTCTGAGCAAGTATTTCTTTCATATTCCTTTGACTTTTTCTCTCATGATCAACAGCATATGTGAATTAAAGGTGGTAGTATAAGGCTATGAAATGAAACTTTTCTCTTTGCATCATAACCAGACCACGTAAGGATCAAACTTCTAATTCCGCAGTAGCAAACTGAGTTACCCAACACAAACTATTTCCATTCATTTTCTACTTGACAGTCTAATTATGTTTGTGATTTCATCAGACTTGCACTGTGTCTATCCTGTATTCCATTCAATAACCACCAAGCTGTTGTTGCTCAATAAATCATTACTGATAATGAAACAAAATCTAATTTAAAAAATTATAGCTGAATGGAAATGCATTTATTTACTTTGTTAAAGTAATTTTAAAGCAAGTGTTTCCTAAATAGATCATTTAACCACAGCATGTGATAAAACTACTCTTTTCTTACCCCAGCTTGCTTTAAAAAGAGAAACTTTGCCCTGGCCGGTTTGGCTCAGTGGACAGAGCATCGGCCTGCAGACTGAGGGGTCCCAGGTTCGATTCTGGTCAAGGGCATGTACCTTGGTTGTGGGCACATCCCCAGTAGGAGGCGTGCAGGAGGCAGCTGATCGATGTTTCTCTCTCATCGATGTTTCTCTCTCATCGATGTTTCTACCTCTCTGTCCCTCTCCCTTACTCTCTGTAAAAAAATCAATAAAAATATATTAAAAAATAAAAATAAATAAAAAGAGAAACTTTTTTAACAGTAGAAAGCGATACTAAAACATTTTAAGGACCCCTGTATTTAGAAATACTAATATCAAAGCCCTGGAAAAACCTATTGATACATCTTAAGAGAAACTAAAAATAACTAATAGTAATTTTGAAAAGTGTAATTTGGAGCTTCTATATCACTTATACCAGGAAAGAGCCCATTCTGGCCAATTTTGGTGAAGACAAGAAATGACATTTCACCTTTTCCCTTATCTGAAGATGAAGTACCTGAGTTTTAACTTACCCTGAGTGGATTTTCATTAAGGTATGGAGGTTCACCTTCCACCATTTCAATTGCCATAATCCCCAGAGACCAGATATCAACTTTCGGACCATAAGCTTTTCGAGTCACCACCTCAGGTGCCATCCAATAGGGAGTTCCCACCATAGTGCTTCGTTTACTTTGCTCAGGGGTGATCTGGGCACAGAACCCAAAATCAGCTGCAGAGAAGAAAAGTCAGTTAAAATCAGTTCAAATTATATTTCTTTTACAATAGGACACTTTCAGATATGGCTGTACTTTCCTTTGTTAGACACTGAGCTTCCACAACTGCCTCTAGCTCATATCCTTTTGTACCTGATCTCTCATCTAGTCCTGATTTTAAGAGTCTGAAATAACTGACTGATATGATGTCATTTTTACTGAACCTCAATCTTCTTTCCTCCAACTTACAGAATCTTTCAGTCTTCTAATTAAGTAGTTGTCATTCAAGAGATGGGGTCACTATAAATTCTGAAATATTACTACCCCCTCCCCAAAATCTGGTCACAATATATAGAAACACAGTGTTAAAAAATTTTTTACTTCAAACTGGGCTCTAAATGCTTTCAAACCAATCATTTTCAATAGCCCTTTTCTTCTCAAGATAGACAGCAAAAGAGCAGAGATCCCCAGATACTCTCTCAAATACCATCAGAACCAAAATACCTACTCAATTTAACAGAGCCATCCATCCCAAGGAGAATATTGTCACTCTTTATGTCTCTATGGATCACTTGGTTTGAGTGTAAGAAATCCAAAGCTTGGAGGCACTATTGAATCAGAAAAAAAGTTAATTATATCACAAATGATTTTTTAAAAATTAAGTTTAATCTAGATAAATTTTGGGCAGGAGTATAATTTTATGTTGCCAAGTGAAATAGATAATGAAGTGCTTTGACACCATTTTGAAATCATATTACCATTTACATCAGTGATGCAATTTAGCATTATACATATGAAAGCTCCTGAGTAAGACTAGGACATGAAGAATGATGGTGTGATAAGTAGCACCAAATCATTAATACAGCCAAACTAACCAATTAATATAATCATACTTTGACTTAGTTATCTAGAGGATATGAATTCACCTTGGTTTTAAATAGATTTAGTAAGCTTCTGTTTCCATGGTATGATTTGATTCAGTAGGTCTCGAGTGAAACCCAAGAATCTGCATTTAAAACAAGTGCCCTGAGCTATTTCTGGACAGCCAGGTTTGAGGACCACTATGAAGTAACAATAGGCACTTGTTTGGAATTTGTTTTGCACTGTAATACTAGAAGATGGAAACAACAGACTCAGGGTCCAATATACCCCTAAATATTAAAAGTTTGATTCATTGCATAAATAGAAAATATATGCTTTTAGTGGATATGTTTACATCTTTGGGGAGGAGGAAATGAGAATGAGAGGAGAACAAAGAAGGGGGAAATTTAAATGAACAATTTAAAATAAAATAAAGCAAAGACTAGCTGAAATTACTTGGTTTTGTTTTGTTTTTTTTCTATCAATGGTTTTCAATTTTCAGTGGTTCAGAGTTCCTAATGTATCTATAGAAAATCTTACTACAATGAATGTGGTAGATGGTAAGGTCCAAGATAAAATTCCAATGAAGAGAGTTTTTAACATTGAAAAAAATAATATAATAAAATATCCTTGGTTTAAGTTGAAAATAGGTATTATGACACTGTTATTGGAAAACAGGCAGACACTTAAGACACACTAGAGAGCTATGAGGGATGCCCAACTTATACTGTGAAAGTAACTACTTTCCAGGCTGAGGGGAGATCTTGGTTAAAATACATTCTAAAAAATGATGTGATTATAATATGGTTTGTATTTTTACATGGCTCACATTGCACATCTAAGACAAAATAACTACCATGTAAAAATCCCTCGAAATCAGAAAGAAGTTCCTTGCCAACATTACTATTTTCCATGTTCACTGGGACCTAAAACCATTCAGGCTTATATATGGTACCCTGTGGATGGCATAATGGAACTCAAAAGATCCATAGAAAAGCAGCTAAAATAAACTAGGGGCTGGGGAAGAGGAGTGCTATTACATTAGGATTTAAACTGAATTTAGGGTCTCCAATTTTTTTCAGTAGAAAAAAATGTGCTATTATTACTTTGATGTTATAAACATCCTGAATAATCAGAGATAAAGAAAGAACTGCCAATTTTGGTGTTATCATCAGCTAGAAATTCTCTATTTTCTTACCTCTCTGCAGACAGCTGCTATCTGCCCTTCATCCATACAGGTCTCTGTGACCACATCAGTCAAAGAGCCACCAGCCAAGTATTCCATGACTACCCATAGTTCATCACCCACTAAGTAGCTATAACGAAAAAAGAAAAAGACGTTGACTCCAGCCTAAGAAAGTGGGAACTCTTATATATTCCTATTAAAAAGGTAATTTGCATTCAGTTTCTATGCATTTGATTATATTAAATAACAAGAAAAAACATACATTGGAGTCAA